CTTGGCCGCCCTGCCAATGGTGCCGCAGGGTGTTGCGGCAAGATGGCGGCGCGCGGCCGCCGCGCCGGGGTAAGGGTCGGGGTCGCTTCGCGGGCGTGAGGAGGCGACGACGGGCAGGGAGAACCATGCTGCGCGCCTCTCTCCGACAGGTGAGCGGGGTCGGTCCGCCTGCCGGGGGTGCCGAGGAGCGGGGTGGGGGTGCCGAGGAGCGAGGCGGGTTCGCAAGGTGACCGATGTCCCATCGCGCCCCCCGTCCCCGGGGCGGCCCGGGAGAGCGCTTCCCGTGGGTTCCTTCCCTCAGCGGCGGTGGCGCGTTCTCCCCGTGCCGCCCCGGCGCGGCCTCTGTCACCCGGCTGCCCTGACAGACGGGCTGCGTTCTTAGGTGTCGGCGGCGTTGAAGGAAGGACGAGTCACTCCCACGGAGCTCTGCCAACGATGCCTGGCCCTCATCAAAAGCACCAAGTTTCTGAATGCTTACATTACCGTAGCGGAAGAGACCGCTTTGAAGCAGGCTGAAGAATCCGAGGAAAGATATAAAAGAGGTATGTTGGTTTGCGAGTAATGTCAGGCCTTAAAAAGTTGCTGTGGAGGAGCTGTCTGTGTTAGACGAAGCACCTTTGCTTTTTCGAGGGGTTGTCTTGGCTTGTTTGACTGTCGGGGGATGAGGCTCACGCTGTGAGGTTTCCGTGGGTGCTGATGGACGTACACTTGGCACTCGGAAGAATATTTAGTCCAAAAATCAGGGGGAAAACCTGGACCAAACGAGGTACTACAGGTTTAACAGGCCCTGTGCCTCTTGGACAGCACTGATACTTGGTGTCTGCTGCTTCTTTCCCTCAGCCGCTCATTTGGAATGTGTAGCCAATTAGCTACCATGAATAGGCAAATGCAGTGGTCATTCGCAGACCTCTAGACTGGGATAGGCAAACAGCTGGTACAACCTTGTCGAGTTTTTAATTAAGAAAGCAAATTAAAATAAAACAGCTTCATTAATTGCAGTTAGTAATTGGAGAACAGAACAACTTTCAGTCCTGTTATCTGCAGCATTTAGAAGATGGCCATCCTCATTTTCCTTTATGTTTAAAGAAAGGCAGGAAAGGTAAATTTTCACCTAATAGAGTACATATTTTCCTTCCTGGATGATGCTTGCTGTCCTCTGGCAGCTCAATAAATTTGTCAGCCAGGTTGTTTTGCTTCCTGATGTAGGCCTTTTAGTTTCCCAGTTGGGGTTTTTTTTGTGGTGTTGTTTGCTGGTTTGGGGTTTTTTTGATGGTAGATAATCAATTACTTGGGAAGGACTTCCTCTGCTTCAGTAATTTTTCAGGTCGTATCTACTGTATATGTCAGGTAGGCAGAATTTATGGCTCCCAGCCTAGTGAGGGAGTGGATTTAGCAGCACCTATGGCTGAAATAAGCACTGTGTGGTCACACTGGAAAAGGTATAGCCAGCCTGGAGGAAAGCAGCTGCCTGCCTGAAGGGCTTAGACACATTCACAGAGCTCTGCTCTGTGAGGCCAAGTCTGGTTTGGGCAGAGTGCTCAATGCTTTAGTAGGAATGGAAGATGGTTCTTGAAAATGGAACAGACAACCATCAAATGCCAAGTGGAAAGAATTCTTTCTTCCAAAAACCACCCAAAGGGACATATAAAATAAACAGTAATTGATGAGAACATTATATATATAGCACATTTTGCTTTAATCTCTGTTGTTTTACAATCATTCCTAATGCAGGTCAACCACTGGGCATTCTAGATGGAATTCCTATTGCTGTAAAAGACAACTTTAATACAGCTGGCATTGAGACAACATGTGCATCAAATATGTTAAAAGGTACAGTAAAGCTTTTAAAGTAAAATCAAATAATTTGCTCTTTGTAGGATTTATTGACTGGAGTCTTCCAGAAAGCCAAGAGTTTTCAGAAAATGAGCTGGTGTCATTTGAGGAAATACATTTGTCCAATTTCGTTAGCCAAGTTCATCTGGTATTACAGATGTATCTTTTTCTTCTTCTAAGCACGTTATCTCTGTATTTATATTTGTATGCATTTAAAAGCAGTTATAATTAAAACCTATATACTACAATAAAATGGATCCAAACCTCGCATTTTCCTTCACATTGTTTGTAGGTCTAGAGGAGAGCAGTGAGTACTGTTCTGCCTAGTGGAATCCAAAGACTATTTTGTTGTTGTTGTTCTGTTTATAATTGTTGACTTAAATAGTTCTTTCATATGGCTGTGGGAAAAGTGGATGTTAACAATCCCAACATACAATCACATTCTATAATGGTTTTATGGCTTCTTTTTTTTTAATTTCTTAATATCATTGTTTCTATTAACAAGTCAAGAATGTTTTCAAGGCATTACAATGTTTTTATAGTAAAAGCAAAAGTAGGAAACTTTTCTTACAGCTGTTTTATTCTGCAAAAAGTAAAACTTTATATTAATCCTTGTGGAAGATAGCAGAAGCAAATTAGCAGACCTCTAATTTGATTGTGGTTTTTTAATAGCAGAAGAAACAAAATATGGCGTCACTGTTGTAAAAGTTGTTATATCACCTGAGATGCTTTTCCTTAAAGCACATTCTCAGACCTGTTGTGATTGATTGCAGTGAGTATTAGGAGTGATGTCCTTGTTCCTGATGAAAGTGGGAGTGGAGGAGCTCCTGTGAATTGGTTATTACCTGAGGTCTCATGTCACTGTCATAGTTCTCATCCTAGGTTATGTAAGGTCTGAGTGGTAACGACAACTTAAAAATGTTCATAGTACCTGTAAAAATAATTTGTGTCTCACCATTTGGTCTTAATTGTTCTGATTGTTTTCAGGTTATATTTCTCCTTACAATGCTACAGTAGTTCAGAAATTACTGGATCAGGGAGCTGTGCTTTTAGGTAAAACAAACCTAGATGAATTTGCGATGGGGTGAGTGATGTTTATTATTTTTAATGCGTTGATTTTACATAAATAGCATGCTTAGCTTATGTTCCTGTCAACCTGTAATCCTTAACTCCTGTTTCTGTGAGTCAAGACAATAATGAATACTTACTGGAAGGGTACACAGAGCTGCATGAACTTCTCCCTGAGCACTTAGAGTGTTGTGTAAATGATACAGACACTGAGTTTCATGAACATAGTGTTCAAATGTAGCTGTGCTTGAGAGGCGGGAAGTGGTCCAGCTTTTGCAGAAGGCCAAGGACAAGTGGCCTTCTTGTAGATTTGGTAGTGTGTTAATAGAATTGATTACAACACAGTTAATTGCTGCCTTTTCCTCTCTCCTTACTGATGGCTTTTTGCCCTTAGGTAATTGTTATCATACCCCCAGTGGCAGTCACTACCTCTGCCAGTCAGCCACTGGGGTAATTTATATGGGTACTCCCTGACTTGCACATAGGCTAATCGAGAGCAAGGCTTTTAAGTTGCCTAAGCTAATGTTGGTGACTTTTTGTCAAGAGCACATTGAAAAATGCTCCTACAAATTGATTCTTCTGCAAATCTGTGAAGCCAGCCAAACTGTAGCAGAGAACAACATTGGGCTGTTAAGGATGGGAATTACTGCTAGGTTTGGAAGGGAATCTCTGGGACTTTAGTTACCTGTGAAAAACAGCAAATGCTGTATTTTGGTTTTATTATACTTAAACCAAAATCCAAGGTTTGATTGGAAATTCACATGGATGGGGTGGAAATACTTTGACAATATTATTTTGAATAAAGTAATTTTTGTGTGAAAAGGTATTCCTCAGAGGAGGAGCAGACAAAAAGCTTGGGAAAAACCTGATAATGTAGTTTTACAACTGGTCTAAGTTCAGTAAAGCACAGGGTTCTCCTAGTAAGCTTATCCCAATACTGGCTTCTCATCCTAGTCTGTGTTTGCATGATCTCTTCATCAGGGAGCAGATCCAGCTCTAATGTAATGATGTCTCAGTAAGGTTGGTTTTCAACTGCTGTCAGCTGCCTGTTCTGTCTGATGATTTAGCTGGTAACACTGGCACCTTACAGTCAGGGGGAGCATGGGTAGAGGGCCTGAGGAAGGAGGAAAGTACACCCTGTCCCTCCTTCTAGTGGCAGCTCACACTTAGGTGACACAAGCTGAGTGAAACCAGTTTCTGAGAAGCCAGTTTGGCATTCTGAACCAGTGGACTGTGGTCTCTGCAGAGGGCTACCGGGTAATAGTGTGGCATTTCAGAGAAATGCATGTTCCTGGTATTGTGGAGCTTTTTCTCCATCTCTGGCAGCATGTTTTTCCTCACAGCTGTGATCTTACACCACATATAGGGCTGGAAAAACAGAATACCTTGGTTTTGAAAGAGACGTGCTCCTGTACTTTTACATAGCTTAAATCAGTTTTATGTCTCTGTGACCCTGGTTCAGTGGCATTAGCAGAAGTTAGAAAGAGGTACCAGTTCAGGTTCTATGTCAGAAACTGTTTACATACACCAGCCTTCTTGTGTTGAAATTGAATTTGAAAGGATGATAAGGAGTTGGATTAAAAAAATTAAATTGGTGAATACAGTGTGTCATTTGTGACTTCTGTCTGTATTTGTCCTGTCTGACTACCTTAGATCCGGGAGTACGGATGGAGTATTTGGACCAGTCAGAAATCCCTGGAGTTACTCAAAACAGTACAAGGAAAAGTCTGTCCCAAAATCCCATTCAGAAGATGAAGAGTCTAACTGGGTGATAACAGGAGGGAGCTCAGGAGGCAGTGCAGCTGCTGTGTCATCTTTCACATGTTTTGCGTAAGAGGCTTTTAAAATTGTCTTTCTCTAAATGTCTCAAAATATGTTGGAATGTTTTATTTTTTTAATTTTCTCGTGAGGTAGTATGAAATAGGAAGGTTATTGGCACTGGCACACGAAAATTTATTTCAGCATCCCTAGGTTATTTGTGGCATATAATGAAGCAAGAATTAATCCATGCACGCAAATTTAGATTTACTCATTTCGGGCATTTTTCAGTGGTATGACCACTTTGCACTGAATGAAATAAAAATATGATGGCAGTAAAGGAATGACAGTTTTATTCTTTTTCCCACATAATCTCATAAAAAGTCTTAGGGGTTTGTGATGCATCCTCTGCCTCACTAATTGCATTACACAAATACTGAAAATATAATTCAGCAAATTAGGAGATCCCTTAATTTGTAACAGTATAATAATCTTTCCTCTACTCCTTTGTTTTTATAGCGTAGTTATGTAATAGTACATAAGATCTGGGACCTAAAAGCTTTCAAATCCCTTAACAAAAGAGTACAGAGTATTTACTACATAGGTACTTACAGACTTCCCTGTTTTTAAGTTAGAAGACAGTTGTAGTGTTGGGGTTTTTTTTTAGGCAGGTGTGTGTTTATGGTCATTTGGAGTTTTTTTCCTAAAGGAATTTAAATAAGCTGGATTTTTTTTTTTAATAGTAATTATTACTTATATGGAATAGCAACACACTGTGTAGCAATTCAGTTGTCTGTACTGTCTTCCCCATCTGACTGTTAAAACTGATCACAAATCTTTACACCTTGCATTTTATGCATTCAATTTTAGAGCTACATGTTGGGGCATGTTTTATAGAAAATTATTTCAATTGTGCTCTTAATTGGAAGGTGTTTAAAAATGCTCTTTATTTACTTTATTGTTGTTTACCCATAGACTACATTACTAACATCTATTTTGTTGTTAAAATATTCTTGATAATGTCGATTACAACTCTTTTAATTAGTTATTAATATTATATATCTCTTCTTACCTTTACTGGGATGTAACCCATTTTAACCAACATTTTAATACTGTTGAAATTGAACTCTGTGCAGCCATTCCCAAGGACTGCTGCTCCTCATCCTGAGCCAGAATGGGCTGATCCTTAGAGGGTCTGGCACCTTTTCTTATGTTGCTGGGCTCCCATCTTGCACTGCTCAGCACAGTGTCAGATCAGGGGGATTTTTTTGTCCAGCTATTTTATTGTGTATAACCTGCTGTATATCCATCCTATTAGTGTCTTTCAAGCACTAGGAATGCTGCCAATCTTTACATTTTCAATTTGAGATTTGGATGTCCAAAAATGCTATAAAATTGAAGATGTTTTACATCAACACAAAGGCTTTGAAAAAAAAATTGACTTCAGGAAAGTCAGTTGAATTTGTTCAGCCATATCAAAAACAAATGGCTATGGGAAAAGTCATATACTCAGTTCAATAAAGATTATACCTGTTTCCAAAGTTTAAATTTGTTTTGGCAAAGATTTGAATGAAAACTGCTTTATCTTTTTAATGCTGCTTGAGTTAGATTTATTAAAAACAAGAGAACAGCGTGTTTCATTTCAGTACAATTTTAAAAAAAATAGATCAAGGTTTCACTTGTAAATAAGAAAAAAGAAATACAATATAGTAATAGTAATAATAATAATAATAATAATAATAATAATAATATACTGTGTTTTAATTGTACCTAAGCTACTGTAAACTGGGAGTTCTGATCAGTCTTTGTAGATTTGGAAACAGGAAAAGCATCTTTCCAAATTATGCCCTCTTCTTAGGGGCAAGAGGTGTCGCTCTTCATTTTTATCCTGGAAAATGCTGATTCATGCTGCATTGGCTACCCAATAAATATCAGTATTGAAAATTGTTCCCTAAGTCACATATTTATCACACAGTATTGGAACAGACCACAGTATTGGAACAGAGAAGGCAGAAGAAGATATTTGGGGCCATTTCAGATGGTCTGAATTCTACCTATCTGCCTCTGCTTTGTGAAGAGAACTGGACTGTCCTAATGGCAAATTCAGAGACCCTAAGAAAAATCAGGGAACAAATGAAAAATAGACATAGAGAGCAGACTGGAATTTAGGTTGTGTGATTATGATCTTCAGATCTTCTGATTTGGAAGAATTCACAAGAGTTTTAAATCCATGCATCTTAAAGCCACACATTCTTATGATTTGGAAATGTTCTGAATTATCTTACTAATGATGATCCTTTTGAAACCATAGAGCCTTAGGGTCAGACACAGGAGGATCTACCCGAAACCCTGCTGCTCACTGTGGTGTTGTAGGTTTAAAGCCAACATATGGACTGATCTCTCGCCATGGTCTCATTCCTCTAGTGAACTCCATGGATGTGCCAGGAATCCTAACCAGATGCGTGGATGATGCGGCAGTTTTGTTAGGTATTACAATGTCATCTTTGTTTACAACATTTCCTCAAAACAAACTGAATTCTAACTAACTAATGTACGTTTTCGTGGTCTTCACATGTCATGTCATATTTCAGGTTCACTTGCTGGACACGATCCGAAGGACTCTACCACAATTCAGGATGACTTTAAGCCATTTGAACTACCTAATTTGACTGATGTCAGCAAGCTTTCAATAGGAATTCCAAAGGTATCATTTAAATCCTGTTAGCGTTATGGATAGGAAGAACAAATAAGGCACATAATAAAAAAATACTTGTGTCTTGCCCACCACCTCCCAATCTCCTGTGATTTGAAACACTGAAGACAGTAAAAGCAGCTCCTGAAAAAGAAGGGTATGTGTGTGCTCTGTTGCCTGTCCAGGCAATTTGGAGTAAGCATACACTAATGCATCATCTAAAATACTGTCATTGTGGTGGGAAGCACAGTCAGGAACTTCAGGGGAAATGGAGAACTTCAGTTTTTGGTTCTCTCTGTTGCTCTTTTATTAGTCCACTCTGTAACCTCAAACAAGTTGCTCTTGGTGCCTCCCCATGCAGTGAGCTTGTTACTGGTTTGTGCAGAGCTTTGAGATGCTTGCCTACATGGCCCTGTGTTAATATAGAGCAGAAGTTTAAAGGCCATTGAATGGCACAAGGAGCTATGGTTTGCAGAGATCTAATAAGAACTCACATCTATAATTTGGCATCTGATGTATGCAATTCAATCATGTTTGTAACTATAAGAGTACTTGAAATTTAAGAGCAAAGTTTGGGACTTGAGCCTATTTTTAATTTAATAAAGGCTCTGCCTGCAAAGAGACAATGTGAGTAACATTAATTGGATTCTCAGTTTTGCAACCTAAGCTAGAACAGGCATACCAAAAGTTTTAATTTCGTAAGCAGGGATGTCCACTGACAAATTATTCACAATTTGTGAAATGGAAAAACTACATGCCTAGAAAATTGATCAGCTTCATACTGTTCAAATCTTGATGAATCTAAAATGGTGATACTGGTTTATTTTTCCTATCCTTTGAACAGTTTTTTCTACTGCTACAAGTTATTCTAAACAGGTACATGCATACATTAAACATGGGTCATAGCTTCTCAGAAATCAGTATTATGTATTATGACCCTGATATTATGAGTTAGAACTAAAGCAAGTATCTTCAAAATTAGGGAGTTTTAATAGAATACTTATAATTTGAGTATGAAATGGAAATGTAGCTAACCTAAGTCTTCTCCCAACCCATTGATTGTAGATTTTCTTTGGTGGGTGGTTTTATTTGTTTCACCAAGGTGTGCCAGTTGCCACTGATAGTGCTGTGGCCATTTTTTTTATCTGTCCCGCTTGCAGCAGCCCTAGTTTTAGGATTTAGACCTGAAGAATTTCTACCCATGACTGAAGAGCAGTGCAGTACAGTCTTGATAGATAAATAAGGGGATAACTGGGCAATTACTCCTTTAGAAGAAACTGCTGAAATTCCATGATTGGTGATACATATATTGATCCTACCAAGATGAACATAATACTCTCAAGAAGACTCAATCCTGTTAATTTAATATTCCTTCATTGTATAGGATTTAGTAGATGCAAAAAGCTTTAATAAGTACTTTAAATCTTAAAGTGCCAAGATAATGGTTTCAGTGTATTTTTAGCAAGGAGTATTTGTGTTTTGGTTGCTATTGGAAGTAAACCAGTGTGTAAAATAACTCCTCTTGTTTTTCCTCTAAGGAATATCATGTACCAGGGCTGTCCAGTGAAATTCTGGCTCTCTGGTCAAAGGCTGCTGAGCTGTTTAAGAATGCAGGTGCTAAAGTGGTTGAAGTGAGCCTACCACACACTCGTTACTCAATTGTCTGCTATCATGTGCTGTGCACAGCAGAAGTGGCATCAAATATGGCCAGGTTTGATGGACTGGAATATGGTAAGGCCTTTAAAAAGCTTTTTTCTTAGACAGTAGAAATATTGCAGGATGCCATGTAAAAGTGTTTGTTTTTGTAGATTTCCTTTTCATGGTTGGATGCTTGATGTTATTTCTCCAAGATGAAATATAGTAAAAAACCTTGTGCAGATAAATAAATACATAGTATATTTCACTACTAGGCATATAAATGTCTGGGCTCAAAATCTAGTTTAGTATTTCCATAATAAGACAGGAATATGTTTCATTGTTTTTCCAGAATAGTAGCATGTCAGACTGCAGCAAACAATGACCTATTGTATTACTATGATGTTAATAAGTCTTCAGGATTACAAGAAGTATTAATACCCAGAATGCCTTTTCAGGACATCGTTCTGACATGAAGGATTCCACCGAAAGTATGTATGCTGCAACGCGGCGAGAAGGCTTCAATGATGTCGTAAGAGGAAGAATTCTGTCAGGAAACTACTTCTTGTTGAAGCAGTAAGCAGTACATCTTGAAATTCAGTTTTTCCAGGTTAACAAATTTTTGAGCAAATGGTGATTAATCATGATATGAAAAAGAAATTTCCTTTATACTAGTAGCTGTTTGTATTTTTATTGCTGCTTTAGCTCTATAATACCTAGTTAACTGTTAATAACGAACAGAAATGTTTTCCCTGAGTCTTACCAGTGAGCCTCCTACATTAAATAAGTAAAACAACTTAGTGATATTTTTTTTTTCCCTACCAGAACATTATTGGCATCCATTAGTTAAATTAGGCAGAAATGTACCCTACGGTATGACATTGAAATCATACTGAAGTGATTACTGCTGTAGTGTTAGAAGTTCTGTAGCTGTTTATCTCATTAAAACTGCATAGAAAAAGTGCTGGTACATTGTAGCGAGGCCTTCTAGGGAAAGCCAGAGACACAGCTGTTACATTAACTGCGCCTCTCTGCCTCAGTGTGCAGGGAAAGAGAAGCATTGGCAAAGTACTGAACTGGAGTCCTTACAGAAGTCGGGGTTTTATCCAGCTCACATGGAGAATCTGGTGCATGGATCTATTTTACGTTTTTAGTTTTCAATCCTTATTCAGCAGTCCTAATTTATGTTGGTAAAAGTGCTGTTTTTCTGTCTGAATTTGTTCAGATACTAACAAAAATACTAGGCATGTAATCAGTCTCTGTAGTGCACTTTCTTTGAAAGAGCTCCGTCAGCAAGAGTATTCATCAGATGTGACTTCTAATTGCTCTGAGAGACAGGAATGTTGTCAGTCAGTCTGTAACAACCAGCTTTTATGGAATGCCGATATTCCTGCCAAGTGTGCTCCCTCTGCTTACAACTGTCCAGATCAGCTTTCCTAAGGCTGCTTGAAAATTCACGTAGTTAACTCTTCTGTGAAGGAATACACAATTACAGAATTACATGCCAGAATTACAGAATATTCTGAGTTGGAAGCGACCCACAAGGATCATCGAGTCCAACTCTTAAGTGAATGGCCCTTATAGGGATTGACCATGCAACCTTGGTTATTTTGTCACACGGCTCTAACCAGCTGAGCTGCTCTCATTGGCTTCCACCAAGATGGAACAGAGAGTTGTGCTCCTGTTCCACAGTAAATTACTCTCTTGTAAGACCGAATGGTTCAGAAAGCATCCTTAGAATAAGTAGTAGAGAAAACCCATCTGTGTCTGCTGCAAGTGTTGCCTTTTACAGCTTGTTTTTATCTTGCTTTTCAGAGTTTTAAAATGACTAGGTGATCGTTCAGGAAGTTCTGTTTAACATCCTTAGGGATGACATGGACAAGGGGATCAAGTCCTCCCAGAGCAAGTTTTCAGACAGCTCCAATTTGTTTGGTAGTGTTGATCTGCAGGAGGGATCTGCAGAGGGATCTGGACAGGCTGGGCTGAGGCCAGTTGTATGAGGTTCTATAGGGCTGGGTCCTGTATTTGGGTCACAATAAGCCCAGGCCGCCCTACAGGCTGCAGCAGAGTGGCTGGAAAGCTGCTCAGGGGAAAAGGACCTGGAGGTGCTGGTCAACAGAACATGAGCCAACTGTGCCCAGGTGGCCAAGAATGCCAGTGGCATCCTGGCCTGTGTCAGCACCAGGGCAGGGATTGTCCCCCAGTACCCGCACTGGTGAGGCCATGCCTTGAATCCTGTGTTCAGTCTGGGCCCTCCACTACGAGAAGGACATTGAGGGGCTAGAGCACATCCAGAGGAGGACAGCAGAGCTGGTGTAGGGTCTGGAGCACAACTCTTATGAGGAGTGGCTGAAGGAGATGGGGGTGCTTACCCTGGAACAAAGGAGAGACCTTGTCTCTCTCACTACAACTACCTGAAAAGAGATTGGCAAGGTGGGAGTCGGTGTCTTCTCTCAGGTAACAAGTGATAGGAGAAGAGTAAACAGCCTTATGTTGCACCCTGTGAGGTTTACATTGGATATTGGGAAAAATGTCTTCACTATAAGGGGTGTCAAGCATTGGAACAGGCTGTCAAGGGAAGTGGTGAACTCCCCATCCATTTAAAAGACATGTAGATGTGGCACTTAGGGACTTTTTGAAGTTAACAGCTAGGTTGATTTCTGAAGTGATTGTAGGAAAAGGTCTGATTCCTATTATATAACTTACTAACTTGAATACACTTTTTATTGATTATAGCCATTTTCATTGCTGTCTTTTGGAATCTTTAATCTTTAGATTACTCTAACAAAGCAGATTTTAGGTAATTGCAGTTGTTTTATTGGTAAACACTGGCATGTAGCGGTTGGTAATACACCACTCCATTTTTCTTTCACTTCCCCTTTTTTTTTTTTTTTCTTTCCCAAGTAGCTGAGGGTTTAGATGACAGTTACTTTTGAAACTGAACTTCTCTGAATTTAAGATTCCATATTTACCAGTTCTGCATATGAAGTTAAAAGGAACGATAGACGTAAAGTTGACTAATGTGTTTCTGCTTCAGAGTTGTGTAAAGACAGAAATTCATAGACCACATGTTTACATGAGGGGAAAAAAAGGATAAAGATAAGGTCTTTATAGTATTATACAGAAAAGTATACTACAACCACATACATAGTTTTAAATCCATTTGAACTTCTCCAAATGATGGGACTTTTTCACATGCTTCAAGTATCTTGCAGGGTTGAATCCTAAATGGTTAATTCCTGTTTTTCAGATCTGTGTAGCACTGTATGTCCTAGACTTTGCTGCCCTGCAGTGAAATTAGGTTAGATACCAGCTTTTCACCCAGAGGGTGGTTGAGCACTGTAACAGACTCCCCAGGAAAGTGGTCATAGCACCAAGCCAGTGTGAGTTGTGCTCTCAGGCACGTTGTGTGGGTCTTGGAGTGTCCTGCACAGGGCCAATAGTTGGACTCCATTATCTTGATGGGTCCCTTCCAACTCAGCATTTTCCATGGTTCTGTGAAATTCAATACACAGTTTAGTTTCCAAATGGTCACAGAAGTGTTGTGTTGATTTTTAGTTAATTATTGTAAAGCAGGGTTTTGTTTTCCCTTCACCTTTCTTCAGCTGTATGCCCTCATTTCTTCCTTCTCTGACAGCTCCTTTGCTTTGAGAGCATAAATACATGTGTGGTGACTAAGCTTCCAATGTGAGTCAAAATTTTGTCCAAAATGATTACTGGGCTTGTCTTTTCCAGAGTGGCTAAGAAATAAAGTTCTGTATTTTGGGAATTAAAATATCAGGCCTTTATGTTCCTGTTCTTTTCTAGGAACTATGAGAAGTACTTTGTCAAGGCACAGAAAGTGAGACGTCTCATTGCCAATGACTTTGTGAAGGTTTTCAGGAGCGGTGTTGATATTTTACTCACTCCCACCACTCTGAGTGATGCAGCACCATACACGCAATTCATCCAAGAGGACAACAGGACCCGCAGCGCTCAAGATGACATCCTGACACAGGCTGCAAACATGGCTGGTGAGTAGGGGACAGGAACTCAACTGTGTTTTGCCCTGCCAAGTAATTTTAAATGTCCAGTCTCTTTAGGTATTGAACCTTCTCTTTCGAATCGAGATACTTCCCCCACATGTCGTAAGTCTTACAGTGGTAACTGGGTCTAAAGACAATTTTTTAAATGCTTGAAAATATAAGACTAGATTTTAAATTAGGGCACATTGGAGCTGAGTGTGAGCTGCAGGTAAGATGAATCTGTTCCAGAGACAGAAATCTCTTTCTAAGGAGAACTGATTATCTTTTTCAGAGGATGCTGACCTCTTTAATCTCTCTAATTAATTTCTTGTGATCATCTAACATTCAGTTCATTTAATCAAATTATTTTAGCTGGTCTTTTTTCTCTACATGGTTTGTTTTCTGGTTCTCATAAAATTGATTCAAAAATTACTCTAAGGTTTTATAGTAAGTCTTTGCATGTGTATTTTTTTTCTTTCAGGACTGCCAGCCATAAATGTTCCTACAGCTCTTTCAGAGAGAGGCTTGCCAGTTGGACTTCAGTTCATTGGACGTTCATTCCAGGAGAAGCAGCTTCTCACTGTAGCCAAATGGTTTGAAAAACAAGTACAATTCCCAGTGATTCAACTAGAAGAAGTAAAGAGACATGACAGTGGTGTCTTTCAGCATCAGAAATCTGCTTCTTTTTCATAGCCTGGAACTTGTTAGTCAGAGCAAGAAAGCTGTGGAGGTCAGGAAATTTCTGCAGTTAATTGTCTTTTGCAGAAGTAATAATGAAGACATTATGCAGTAATCCACGATGGAATCGGGACAGCTTGTTACAGTGTAATTTAGGTAAAGTAAATTAAGTAAATATTACCATGTTATTAAGAGCCATTTCTTACTGATACGAAAAACTCCAAGTTGAGATTTTGTATGTTTTGCCTGTGAAGCTGATTTTTCAGTCCTCAGAGGGTGTGTAAGGTATCTGAGCAATTAAAGAACTAACCTGAACTTTTGTGTCAAAACTTCATGGTTGCCAGAGGGCTTGGTTTCCTTCTGGAGTGTAGACTTTTGTAATGACGACAACCAGACAAGCTCTGTTGGAACAAAGGTATCGAGGATCTGTTCAAGACTTAAATACAAAAGGAAACAAGGGAATAACATAGAACCATAGAATCCTCTAGATCAGAAAATACTTTTAAGATCATCACATTCAACCAGCACTACAAAGTTCACCACTCACTCATATCCCCAATGCCACATCTACACATCTGTAATGTGATGCTTATTAAGGATATTGTGAGAAAGCTAAATCACACCTGCATTTACATCCCTGTTTTATCAAAATTCAAGATATGGAAATGTTAGTCTATTTTAAAAACCAAAAATATTCCCTACTTCCAGCTAACTTGTGCAGGAGGTGAAAATAACCTCTGGGTTTACAAATCATGCAGATTTTTCTGGTTATATCCATGTAAGAATGATGAATTCCAGGTATCTTCTGGGGAAAGATGTGTAGTAGTAGTACTTGAGTAGTTATTTTCTTCTTTCTTCATCACTGTTCTTGATAATTGACACTTAAAAGCTTACTAAAAAAGAGATCTTACTCAGTGTGACTCCCTGTAGGAATAATGCCATTTATTCCTTCGTGGACTTTACAATGGTAATTCAAACTGAATTTCCAAACCATCGTCTTGTAGACTGAAATGCTTACTAAACAACTATTAACCTGTTTCAAATGTTGCAGTTTCCATTTCTTGACAGGTAAAAACATGAAGGGTGAAGTTTGTAGATATTTTGCATCAGATTTGCTTTCACTCGTAGTCTACAGCATGCAGAGATGTAAAAGGTATAGAGGGAGGAAAAACGACTGAGATGGAATCTCCTATGGAAACATAAAGAAACCTCCTGAATTACATCTTGTCATATACTGTATTGTCACCCATATAAAAAAGAAGAAAACCTTATTTCTAAAAATTGCAGGTGAATTTGTGAATTTTCCGTATGCCAAAGTGAGTTTTTTCAATACCTTTCCCACACAATTAAAATGGTACACAACTAAAAACCCCACATTTAAAAAGCTAAATTATATTTTTAAATACTAAAAATCAAGGTACGGCCTATTTGCAGCCTCATTCTTACCTTTTTCCATAGAACAGTATTTAGGGAACTTGATTTTTCTGATTAGTGGGTGATGACAATGAATTGAGAATCCTAATAAAATATTTTCACTAATGTCCTGTTCAGTGATTTAGGCATGCTGTAATCATGCAGGTGTGTCTTAGAGCAGGTTGGTGACCAGAGCTCCTGGTGAGGTTATCCAAGTTGCTGTACCTGGATCTATACTGAAAATAGCTGCTCTTTGATGTGCACATCCCAAACCCAGACCTACCGCTTGCTGTTTCTGAAAGGAAAGGTCAGTGACTTTGGCCCAGGATTTGAGATAAAATCCTGGCTGTGGAGAGCATTCCTGGAGAGACTTGAAGCACCTTGGAGTGTTGAAGAAGAAATAAGCCGAGGACTGTTCTTTCCCTTGTAAATTAATTCTGGCCTTACTTCTGACCTACCAGAAGATCACTGCTTATGCTTGGCAGTCTTTCTCTTAGAACTTCCTCTGATGTAAAGAGATAGCTGAAGGGAAAATTGGATGAAGGCAGAGATCCCTACTTCATGTTTCCCAGGCAGTTAGAGGAGGGGTAGGTGGAGGGTCCCTGTATCTGCACTACCTTTTTTTTTGAAATGGGACTCCAGTTCCAGTCTGCAGAACCCTCTAAAGGAGCATTCAGAAGATCACAGCAATGACCTGTTCTGACACAGGTCCTTCAGAGTTTCTGCTGCATAGAATGACTGTGAAGAAATACCCACTGGGGGAGAGACCAACCAACCAGACACCCATGCTGCCTGGTATTTATAACTGTGTGTTAGCAGTTGAATTAACAATTGTAGAGACTTAAAAAACAAGCTCCTGGGCAGATACTTAAATTTCTGGGCTATCAGATTTACAGCAGCCCCAACAAGGTTTCTCCCATTCTTTTCTCGTCTTCCTACTCCTAGCTGGTTTGCATTTTTAGGGACCATATGATATATGCTCTTTCTGCCTCTCCTTTCTAAAGCTGGAATTTCATCTAACCAGAAGGTAGGAACTAGTTTGGTCAAGCTGCTGAAGGATGTAAGCAAGAGTTCCTTACACTGCAGGAGAATAGCTAAGAGCTATTCTCTAGTTCTCTAATTCTGCTGTCTTCATATTAGAAAAACTGGTAGTTGACTCTGGAGCCCCAGCAGTTCCCAAAGGAGTTTAACACCCCAGCTACTTATAGGTATTGTGGTTGTGAGCAGAGCTTTGTGCAGCTGCTCCCAGTGCCAAGCCATGGCTCCAGAGTTATGAACAGAAAAATTGCTATGCCAAGATAATTAGACTCTCAAACCCCCTTGTTACAGAAACACAGGAATTCCAAGGAGCAGGAAGGTCTGGAGGTAAAAAAATAAAAAAAGGAAAAACCCAAACCCCTGCCTATGCAAACATTTTTTAAAGCTGTCTTGAAAAACAATTCACTGAAATAATAGAGTTGGAAGTTTCATGGCATTGCAGTACGGTCACAGTGGGAGGTAGGTGTAACCTTAGCCCACACTGAGTCCAGATAATTCCAGTGTTTCCTGAGAGAAACAAAAGCTAGAGCTTTAGCAAATAAGCAATCTGGGTTTTGGCGCACCTTGTTTTTTCTTCAGGTAATGAGAACCTTTAAGGACGTTGTATAGTAGAAAAGCTTTTTTTGAGATGAAAATTTTTAAGAGCTTTTGCTTAAGATGTTCTTAAATACAGTTGCCATCTGATACTGCACTTTAAGCAGTTTCCACATACAAGTTTTTCCCTCACCCACTTTAAGAGCACTCATAGAAAGGAGAAATTCAAAGCAAAATTCAGTCTGAGTGCTGCTCCTTCTCTGTTCCTGCATTTCTAGTTTTCAGGTATCACACACTTAATAGTAACTACGAATTCATTATAACTTCCAAAGTGCTAGTCATTTCTCTATGAGTTTCATGACTCACCCAAGAATAAATCTGTGGAAAGCTGCAATAGGGAGCAATGGGCTTTGTACCCTACCTGGGGAATCCCACGGGCCTCCCCTTCAGCTCTGCCCCCCAGAATATTGAAAGCAGTATCACCGGACTCGCATACAGATGGGCAGCTGAAAAGGGAGAAAGGGGTGTGCACAGCATGCCTAAAAATCTCAGCTGGAGGTACATGGCAGTTTCACTTCATGTTAAATTGATGCCCACAGTGCCACCAGAGAGAGCACAGAAATAAGCAAAAAAAAAAAAAAAAAGAGGAGCAAAAAAAGGTTTATCTAAGTTTGTTATTTTTCCATCTGTCTCTCAAATAAAAAAGAAGGTATCCAGTTACAGGAATGTTAGAGAGGCAACAAATCAAAAACACAATCTTCTTAATTATCTCACCACACCTTTGATTGACTAATGTCCAGATGCAATTAGGCGATTCCGAGCTAACCTTTCTTTGTAAGCAGAATAAAGGGTTTTTTTCCCACCCAGCACAGGCATCCTCATGTACTTGCTGCTGAACAGTAAAAGGTGTTTTTAGCCCAGGAGTGCAGGGCACTCAGGAAAAGCAGCAGGAACACAGCCAGGGCACTTTGCCATGTCCTGTGCCATTTTACAGCCCAGGCTATGGTGTGATACCCACACAGTAAGGGTGAAAATGCTGTAGGGAGTCACAAGCCAAGTCTGCAGCACAGTGTGTGATGAAATGGACTTCAAAGAGCTGGAAATCTAATGTTTTTCAGCTGAAGAGACTGTTCTTGTATGTCACTGTGTGTGACAGCCAGTGGAGAAAGCATTTGTGTGTCCTGCCTAGCTGCACTGATGGTGACACATGGTGCACAGGGTACTGTCATGTGCTGGTTCAGACACCTGGGGCACAACGGGCACTCCTCAGCTAGAGGCCCCTTTCAGGATCCCCAGGTGCATTATGGTGGAGAGAAAAGGGCAGAGGATAGACTGAAAGGCTGCTGCAGGAGGTGAGATAAGGGAGCAGGAGCAGAGGCAGTAGGTGGTCAGTACTGGCTGGCAGCAACTGGGTACCTGGCTGCACTGTACCATGACCTGCTGGGAAGCAGCTGCTAGCACCACTCCCAAAGGGGAGACAAATTCCTGCACTGCAGTGTATGGAGGAAAAGCAGTAGGCACTTCGTTGTGCCACCTAGGAGGAGATGTTTCAGTTTGGGAAGTGACACTGAGAAGCACAAAAACGTTGTTTAGGCAAGCTGAGAAATGTCAGGAGGTAAAAAACACACAAAAGAGGAAAAGAATTAAGTATCATAAAAGCTGATAAGTCATTCAAGTAGCCAAACTTGGGAGAGGAAGATTGAAGAGATAAAGGACATAGGGATAAGGAAGCACACATAATCTCAGAATATTCTGAGTTGGGAAGGACCCACAAAACTCATCAGAAGTATTCTGGTGAAGGAGAGGCCCTGACTTCATGTTCCTATGTTGAAATCTTCAAAGTTTGGTACCTTTTCTGAATTGTATCTCTCTGAACATAGAGGCAGCTTGATTTAATCCAAGACCAAAGTATTTAAGACTTGCGTTCACCAGCTTTTATTGCCAAGGTAAATGCTACTCAAGCACATATAATGTATGACCCAGACACACAAAAGATGTTTAACAAAGATCAAAACCTGTTATTAGCAATGTACTTCAGGAAGCCTAGGAACACACTGCAGAAGGGACAATGTGGGCTATATTTCTCTACATAGATAATGATTTCATAGTCATCTCCATTATTAAAATCTAAGTATTTTTGGTTTCTTTCTCCTATTAATATTCAGGAACCTTTTGTTTAGAAGCTTAAATCACAGCCAAGACACACACACCTATTTACTCAAGGCAATATTTGTTGGTTTTTTTGTTTAAATATGCCTTCTCACTTGATGTGTTTAATTCTTCCTTGTATTTATAGAGCACAATCACATTCTTCCTTAGCCTGTATTCTG